GCAAATTAGCACTGAAAATACCTGGGAAACATACAGTCAGAACTCCTTACTTGCAATATAAGACATAAGTGCAAGATCAGTGCCTAAAGTGGTACATTTCTAGCCAGCTCTCCACCTAAATTAAATATGACTTCAGTTAAAGTGAACTCCATTTTCTCAATTTTATATCCCACTCTTGCCGCTCTATATCTGTGGGACTTTGTTTCACAAGAAAAAAGAAAATGAATGAAGACGCTGCCAAGAACCAAAAAGAACAAAAGCAGCATCAGTCATTCGCTCTCAGAAAGAAAGGTACAAAAGCTGCCACTGCTGCAGGATCCTTTCAAAAGCTACTGCAATATGCACTTTTTAAGACTAATATGCATCTTTTCAGGATAAATTTAAAAGGCAGCCGCTTCAGTGACAGACTTTGTAACATTTGCACCGTTGAATAAAACGTTTCAGTAACACTTTACTTAAAGCCTTTAGGGCATTATAAAAGCATTTTGAATGCATTAATTGTGCCTTGGAATGCACCATTGATATAGTATTATAGTTTCTATTAATATTTTGAACCAGTTTTTATTTTTATTGTTTATGTTTTCATTTTATTTATTTATTTTTCTTCATATATGTCTAAATACTTTTATTCAGTTTTCATTTTAGATATTTTCGTACATCAAGTTAAACTAAATTAAAATTAGAAATGTTTCCTTGTCAATCAAAAAAAATATATAAAATGCAATTTTTCCATATTTTATTTTATGTCAGTTAATATTTATTTTATTTCAAGTAATGACAGTGCTTTTTTAAATGGATTTAATTTTAGTTTCAGTTTTAGTTAACTACAAAAACCTTGTATAATCAAAAATTAGTCATAATTAATTGTATTACTTATCTATTTAGAAAGTATAATGCATTAAAACAAAATAATATAATGCATTTTAACTTCGGTTACAATTATTTATGAAAATAAATAATGCATTAAAACGTACATTATGCATTATACATAAATGCTTTAAGTAAAGTGTTAGCAACATTCATTCGCACAAACGCTACAACGCTTTTGACTTCAGAAGACTTGAAATACAGCGCACAAACCCTACAGAGCACTTTAAAGGGTCTTATTTTGTCCTTTTTGGAGTTTGACTGGTCTTTTGTTGATCTGCTCAGAGTTTCTGACAGAAAAAAAAAAAAAGTTTGGAGTGACATGAGGGGAGTAAATTATTACCGAATTGTCATTTTTAGGCAAACTACACCCTTTAAATACCATCCCACATCTCCTTCTTTCATTCGATGAGAGCTGAATGGGTCTGTAATGAGACGAGCGTGTATGTGTTGTGCTGTTTTCACCCGCGGGGCTACAGATCCACCCAACTGACTCCATCCAGCTCAATTTAATGCTAAAATTAAAATTACACACATGTACTTATGGAATACATCCAATATACCACTAATGGGACACACAAACTTCGTAACATTATCATTAACTATAATTCCGGAAAATAAATAAATAAGCCTCAGTGAGACTGCATTTCAGAACAAATATTTCCACTATTAAAAGACACTGTATTTCTACATTTTCTGAAAAAATCATCAGTGCGGATTTAAAAGGCATTGGGGGGGGGG